CATCTCCACCCTCTGACAAACAGAGGCTAAGGACACCATTCCTTACCCATCCTGGCTAATAGCCATTAATGGATTTAACCTCCATGAATTTATCTGTTTCCTAGAGACTGGCTCCATGGGGTCCCTCACAAACTGGAGACGGTTACCGTGGGTTTGTCTTTAGTATAGCTTATGTACATACTCCACGAACTGAGCATTTGAGCTTGTTCCAGAATTTGGGATGAGCCTATGTTGTGAAAACTGAAATAATCAAAATAGCACATGCATGTGAATGGACACAGGGTGCTAAAATTAAATTAACCCAGGGGTTCTCAAACTGGGGGTTGGGACCCTTCATGGGGTCTCAAGGTTATTACTGGGGGTCATGAGCTGTGAGCCTCCACCTCAAACCCTGCTTTGGTTCCAGCATTTATAATAGTGTTATATATATAAAAAAGTGTTTTTAATTTATAAGGGGGAGTCAAACTCAGAGGTTTGCTATGTGAAAGGGGTCACCAGTACAAAAGTTTGAGAACCACTGAATTAACCCCTCTGGAGCCTTGGGGAATGCAGGGGAGGGAGGTCTCCCTTAGTAGGGTTGGGAAGGAGGTAGGTGGTGTAGGATATTGCTCTTCTCGTGATCCCTCCCCCATGGCTCTCTTGGCTCTATCACTGTTAATCTAAAGTGGCTAATTTTAAATGAAGCTACCCTCCGCTGACATGAATCTCTCTATGGCACTGAAATTAAATGTAGACTATAATTTGGCATTTGAGAAGTGAAAGGGATGGTAGCCCTAAGGGAAAAGATAACAGCTTGGCAAATTGCCCCACTTGCCCCCCCCCACCCCCAAAGTTCACTCCCAAGGTGATTTCTGCATTTCACATGAATCAGCTTATTCAGCTTTCAACCTTTTATCCCAAACCTCATCAGGATCGTAGGAAATCCCCCATATGCTCAACGTGAGGAGAGCCTGGGCCTTTTATTTGGACAGAACAAGAGCTTTCAGACTCTTACTCTCTGTTGCAGACAAGTCAAAAGTTATAGTGATTTCAGCTCAAAGACTCTCTAAGTGGGTTGCAGGCTGCATTAAACTGTTACCACTTGTGTAATGTAACACCCCCATCTTAAATGCGCATGCACTCTGAGGCCAGTCTCTTCCAGTCACCTTCTCGAAGGTATCCTATTATCAGAACTCTGCCAAGCAGCTATCTGGCATCTGCACCCACTTTTACAGAACACTGCCATCCTGGGGGATTTGGCTGCAGATGCCAAATTCAGTGCCACAGTACTATCATCCATATTGGACTTGACTGAAATCCTAGCTCCAGTGGTGGGCACTGCTCGGGAGTCACCTACAGTGGAACACCCATAGGGGGACACATCTTGAAGAACCATTGTTAGTGCTCAAGGTGAATAACTTCTTCGTTGTCTCCTTAAGATGAAGGATCAATACAGAGTCTCTGTTCCTTGTATTTCCAAAGGGATTTCTTTGCCTTACAAGTCAGGAAGGCTTCCTGGGCATTCAGTCTCCTGTGTCTCTGTGGGGTGCAGGAGCCATGTTCATTCTCTTTCAGTTCAGGCTCAAGATGATCCCTGCTGGTTTAGCCTTTTTTACAGCTAATGTAGATTTAAGTAAACCCATCCTTTCGTCTAGGACAGACCTGTTTATCACCTATACCTAGACTAGGCTGCTTTTGTTTTAAACATGTTCTAGTAATGTCATGCACAGGGAATTCATAATTTCACATATATTAACACATGAATATTACCATGATATTAATGACCATGTTGTTAGCTTTCATATACCTCACAAGGCATATTTTGTACAAATATTGCAGTAGTATGTAGGCTGTGAATACAGGCGTGCCATGGGTTACAAAAGTATATCAAAAGAAAGCCAGATCCAGGTTGACTAAAGCCAAGGAGGAGGAAGTATCACTGTCAATCACAAATGGATATGTTTGTAACAAAAACAATCCCAGAACTAAAATAAAAGATAGAATTGAGAACTGCAGAATTTTTTTATGGCTGTGATACTTCCTTTTCTGTTATTGAGAATCAACTTTTCAGGTAATGACCAGCTGCCTCAGGCCGAGCTCCAAAGCACCCAATCAAAAGCAGGTAGAAGGTGAATTGTTAGATGTGGTTACAGATGGCTTGAGGGTGGAAGCACACAACAAATTACATGGGAAAGAATTTGTTAATACCAGATGCCTGGAATAATGTGTGCAGATAAGGAAAACTATGGTTTATCAGCAGCTGATACTGGAAGCAATAAGAAGAATGGAATGTAGTGTGCTATCCTGGCAAGAGAAGCCAAAAAAACCGGCAGATAATATTCACCCAAGAGTTCTGAAGGAACTCAAACATTAAATTGCAGAACTACTAATTAGTATGTAACCTAGCACCTCAATCAGCCTCTGTACAGGATGCGTGGTGGATAGCTACCATAATGCTGAGTTTTAAAAAAGGCTCCAGAGGTGATCCTGGCAATTACAGGCCCGTGCGCCTAACTTCAGTTCCAGGTAAATTGATTGAAACTATAGTAAAGAACAGAATTATCAGACACACAGATAGCACGCTATGTTGGAGAAGACTAAACACAGCTTTTGTAAAGGGAAATCATGCCCCATCAATCTATTAGAATTTTTTGAGGGGTTCAACAAATGTGGATGACGTATACTAGTGGAAAAAGTACGGAGAATAAACAGGAAGAACTAGAAATGCTAGTGAATAAACACAACTATGATATAGTTGGCATCACAGAGACTTGGTGAGGTAATGCATGACTGGGTATAGAAAGGGGTACAGCTTGCTCAGGAAGGAAAGGCAGGGGTGGATGAGGCGTTTTTTAAACTAACATAATTATCCAAAACACAGGACTTGGTGGTGATGGGGGACTTGAACTACTCAGACATCTGTTGGGAAAATAATACAGCAGGGCACAGATAATCCAACACATTTTTGGCATGCATTGGAGATGATTTTTTTTATTTCAGAAGTTGGCGATAGCAACTTGGGGAAAAGCTGTTCTAGATTTGATTCTGACAAATCAGGAGGAACTGGTTGAGCATTTGAAAGTGGAAGGCACATTAGGTGAAAGTGATCATGAAATGATAGCGTTCATGATTCTAAGGAATGGTAGGAGGAAAAACAGCACAATAAAGATAATGGATTTCAACATGGGCAGTGGGTGGATCTCCCCTTTGGGGAGGCTAGCCCCCAGCTCCACCCCTTCAGTGGGAGTTAGGTATCTAAATACCTTTTATGATCTGGACTAAAGTACACTGTGGTGGAGGGTGAGTGCCAGCAGCCTGATGGAAATACAAAATATTTTTCGGATACTCATGGGGAATTGTGTGCTGTTGGTAACCCTAACTCAGGCAGCATAGCAAAGCTCATATCCCTTGCATAGGCCTTAAAATGTCTCAGGCTCTCCCGATCCAAACCTTATTTGTAAATTCTCATAGTGAAGCTAAAGGCATAGTAGCGTGACCAGACGTCCCGATAAAATCGGGACCGTCCTGATATTTAGGTGTTTGTCCTGCATCCCGACCGATCTTTGGTCAGGACGCAATTTGTCCCGATATTTCACTCCGCCGGCAGCACTGTGTTTTTTTTTTGCTCCATCAGTGGACCCCCACACCCTCCATGTGTCTCAATAGTTTTTTCCTCTCATCTGGTCACTCTAAGGCATAGTGACAGGTTTCAGAGTAGCAGCCGTGTTAATCTGTATCCGCAAAAAGAACAGGAGTACTTGTGGCACCTTAGAGACTAACAAATTTATTTGAGCATAAGCTTTCGTGGGCTACAGCCCACTTCATCAGATGCATAGAATGGAACATACAGTACAAAGTTATATATAACATCTTAAGAGTTTGTATCGCAACTTCCACCTTTTCATGTTCTCTGTATGTATATATATCTTCCTACTATATGTTCCATTCTATGCATCTGATGAAGTGGGCTGTAGACCACAAAAGCTTATGCTCAAATAAATTTGTTAGTCTCTAAGGTGCCACAAATACTCCTGTTCTTTTTAAAGGCATAGTGTTGAGAGTGAAAACTAGTACAGTAAGGGACAGTGACCTGAACATGTTTGCAAGGCAAAACGACATGGGTAGTTCAAACCCTTTGGGCTCTTCGCTGGGAACCCAGTCCAGGGAAGTGCTTGGCCCATCTTGAGTTTTGGGAACCTTCAAGCGAGAAGCAGCCTGGAAGCAACACAGAGATGGCCAGGTCAGAGAAAGCCCCAGCGGCGCTAGTTTGGCACCGGCGGCTCCTGCCCTGGTTCGGGGGGTTTGGTCCCGCGGGTGGGAGCGCTCAGGGGACCCCACAACAAGGAGCCTGATTTAACATGGGGCATGGGGAGGTGCCGTTGTCGCTCGCTCCGTCACAGGGGTGCCGGGGGCAGCTGCGCCCTCGGGGAGGAGACGCGCGTTGCCCCGGCTCGGGCCGCCACCGCTCGCCCTTCCCCTCCCCGGGGGAGCCCGGCCGGTCCGCGCTGCACGAGCGGGCGCTGCCCTCCCAGCAGAGCCTGCCGAGACCAGCAGGCGCCTCCTGCCCCACCGCCTGCAGGGCCGCCGGCCCAGGCCCCGCGGCCCCTGCCCGCCACCACCAGCCCACTTTGGCCTCCGCCGCGGCGCAGCAGCTGCCGGCTGCTCCCACAGGCCGGCCGCACGCGCATCTCCCAGTCCCCCTCCCCCTCCTCGCCAACGTGCAGACGCTGCCTCAGTGCCTCCTCACTCTCTTTCTTCCTACATCCCCCTCCGCGGCCGGATCTCGCTTCCCCCCACAGTAGCAGTGGCGACCCCTCCCCCCGCCACTAGCTCCAGTACCGACAGGCCGCCGGCTACTTTTGACCCGAGAAGGGTTCAAAGAAGAATACAAACATTTCTCTCCCCCACCCCAGTCTCCCCGACTAGGGACTATTTTTTCACCCACCCCTCCCCGGCGGAGAAGACAGCCTCGGCACTGGGACGGGTCGCTCCGCGGCAATGGCGGCCGGGCCGAGGCTGAGTTAGAGCGAGGCGGGGGGAGACTCGCTCGCGGTGGGGGAGGCGCTGATAGGACTATGCCGAGCGGGGCCCTGCCCGCGCCAAACGCTGCCTGAGCCCGTGTCCTGCCGTGGCAGTAGCGGCTGGGCCGCCCCCGACATGGCCGAGCCCTCGGTCCCCTTCTCTGGCGGCGGCTCCCTGCCGCTCATTGAATCAGGTAACAGCGGAGCGCGTGAGGGAGCCGGCCGGGCGCCGCCGGTTCTGCTGCTCCCCGCCGCCGCCATCTTCCCGGTCATGATTATGAATTACAGTCGCTGAGGGGCTCCCCCGCCCCGCTGCTCAGCCCCGCGCTCATCGCTCTCCCCCGTCTCTCTTGCAGAGCTCTACTTCCTCGTCGCCCGCTTCCTGACCACCGGGCCCTGCCGGAGAGCGGCGGAGGTGAGTAGAGCCCGGCAGCGCCAAGCGCACCCGCCGCGGCCGCTGCTGCTGCCACCCAGGGCTCCGGTGCCTGGCCCCGAGCCCTGTGCAGCTGCGGCGGCCGCTGAAGAGAGGGCGAGGTTTGGTTCCCCCTCCCTAACTCGTGTGCATCTGTTTCTTCCTTCCCCTGCAGGTGCTGGTGCAGGAGCTGGAGCAGCACCAGGTCTGTGTGTGACTCTCTCTCTGCTGCCTTTCTCCCTCTCCTATCCTCTTACCTTTTCCCTTTAAGTCATTCATCTCTTTAAAAAAAACCAAACCCCACATTGTTTTGAATTTGATCTCCCCACCCTTCCCCTTTTAATCACTCATTTTTGTTTCTTTTTCAATTTAGTTGCTTCCTAAAAGGTTGGATTGGGAAGGAAATGAGCATTGTAGAAGTTATGAAGATTTGGTGAGATTTAAAAAACAACAACGTTGAATTAGAATGATAATGTTAATGTTAGACCCTCCACTTAATAAAAAAACAGCTGTTACATTTAATTATTTTTGTATTTCACCCTGGGTTTGGGAGGAGACAGAAGGCTGATTTTTAGAAGGGGTGTTTGACTTCTTTACCTTAAACTAACAAACAAAAACATAAGGGATTAGGGGTGTTTTTAATTGGAGGATATTGTTATGTAGCATAGGCGGGGCTTCGGGTTATGCCATTTGCCCGTGTTCCTGCCTACTTATGGGGAAGAGCCAATCTGTTAAGAGGTTTCATTTCTGTGTTTCACTCGGAGACTTGTTAAGCAGGTTTTGATTGGACGGTATTTATTTTCTATTTGGTTTCCTGCATCTGCTGCTTTCAACAGATTAGGAAACAAAATCACTGGTACAGAAATTGGGGGTGGGGACTTGTAGTGGCGTCTTTCTGATTTACTGGCCATACTAATCAAAATGTTCCGAAAGATGCCCTTTGGCTCAGGGCTGCACAACTTGTGCCAAATTAATTGCACTAAATGTATTTACAACAATTTCAGAGTAGAGATGTAACTGTTCCTGGTATTCTATTTTACTGTTTCTAAAATACTGCATGATAATGTGTGGCTATGTGGATACAAACTAAAGGGAGGACAGCATCAATAGGAAGTCTATAGTTCAGTTTATTTATATTACTTTAAAAAGTAATATAAATTAGCTTGGAGTGGTTAGTTCCAAGTAATAAACCAGCCTCTGAGTTCCTCTGCTAATCTTTGGAGTTTTACAATCAGATTCTGTTTTTTCCTCATGTTTTTCCATACTTTGACAAAGTAAAGTGGTATGTGACTGAAGGTACGGGGAAAGAGTGAAATTGACTACACATAATTAAAAAATGTGAAAAATGTAGATATACTTTTAAAAACAAAAAGGTAGCCACAAATGTAATTTTGAATTTGACAGTTCCCTTATTTGAGCAAATGTATGTAGTACTGCTTTAAATCAGTACACTGAAGGACCAATCCTGCTCACTTTACTTGCATGAAGTCAACAGGATTACTTTCCAAGATCTGGCCTAAATTTAGGTAAGCACAGAAAGTTTTCTTGTGAAGGATGTTACGTAGGCCCCAATTCTTCTGCAAATGTGGTGCTGGCATATTCCTATGCTGAGTCTCATTGACTTTGGGGCTTCATGCATCTGTCTGTGCATGTGATTTCCTAGGATTGGAGCCTTTGTGTATGTGTCTCCCTTCTCCCCTACAACAACAAAAAAATCCCTGTCTGTGCTGTTAATAGTTTAGGTTATCAAAATTTCTGCTTTTTAACATTTTTTTACTTTGCCATTTATGCTGTTTAGGTACTTTTAATTGTCTAAGTTTAAAAATAGGCTAATCAGTTTCATTCTTTTGGGTTTGGGTTTCAGGGACAGCTGGCAAACATTTAAGGCCCAAAACCAGCAATGTTGAGCATTTGGGTGTATTCCATGTCAAACCAAGTACTCATTACAGAATCTGAGCCTGAGCTTAAATAACTGCTGTCACGAAAACTCAAAACCAACCATTTTTTAAAAAATAATCTTTTATTAGGCTTCTTAAAACTTTTTAACAAGACTTACATTGGGTATAAATTACACGAAGGTAGTATCTCTTTTTATAAGCTGTATTTCGTAAATATACTTGAAGGGGAAAATTAAGCTTTCTACTTTGAAGCATCTTGATCAGTACTCTTGTATCTCTTTAGAGGATGTGGCAAACATTCTTCAATAAATGATGAAAAGATTTAAGTATACTTATTGATCTACCAAATATTGTTTAGCAATCAGTCTTAGTAACATAATTACTGTATTATACATTCAGATATGTTTCAGTGTTCAGTAACACTGACTCTTTCACTAAATTCATTTCTCAGGTTTTCAGATACTGAAAGTAATGTATAACTTTATTTCAGTGTCTGATTAATCACATTTTCTTTTCAGGCCAAAACCAGTATAAATGTTATGGTTTTAGAATTTTAAAATGACACTACTTACAGTACTGGATTTTTTTTAAGCTAATTTAATTAATGTCACTGACTGTCACTAATAATAAATAGTAAAAATCCCATTTAGTTGTCCTGTTTAAGTTCTGCTTAATACTTGTATTTATGTCAATTAAGTCACCTTAACATTAAGTGAGTTCCACTTTCAGATTCTTAGTGCTGCAGTATTTGGGTTTTAAACACTGCTGGGGATTTCTTAAAATTTCAATGTAAATAATCATTTTTATTTTTAAATTACAGAAAATTTTCTATTGGTCCTAAGTTTTTATTTATTTATTTATTTTAAACTTTAACTTTAAGGCAGGGATCGGCAACCTTTGGCCCGCGGCCCGCCAGGGTAAGCACCCTGGCAGGCCGGGCCGGTTTGTTTACCTGCCGCGTCTGCAGGTTCAGCCGATCGCGGCTCCCACTAGCCGCGGTTTGCGCCGCTTCCTGCCGCCCCCATTGGCCTGAAGCGGCGTGCCAAAGGTTGCCGATCCCCGCTTTAAGGTAATTTGGGTGTAATTTAAGTTGAGTTTGTCCTTTTTAAATATACAGAAGTCAAGGCACTGGTTTTGGTTCTCACAACTATAACTCATCCCCCATGTACGTATGAAACATGTATGCAGATTAAGACAAGTACTTGCCAAATGAGTGTACAGCAATAGTGTGTGGGGGTCTGATTTTTACTTTTCTGGTTATGGGGCAGCCTGAGCCTCAAGTTAAGGTTGACTTATTGAGATTTTGATATTTTTATCTTATGGGCACACTAATTCATACTTATAAACAAAAATTTGGCCAATTTGTGGAGGCTGTGGAAACCCTAACTTTGAATATGTGACTCCTACTCAAGTAGGTTGTCAGTCATGAAGTTGTATACATGTTTTTTGCAGTGAACTTTGAAAAAATGAAAATATGAGAAATAAAATGCGCATGCATTTTTGGTTGCAAGATGCTGTGCTTGTGTATACTTGGATTCTAAATCAAGTATATCTGAGAATCCTTTGTGAGTGGGTAAAGGTATTCCCCTAAGATGTCTGTGGAAGCTTTGGAAGGTTTGCCATTGAATTCAGTGAGAGTAGGATTGTTTGCTGCATTTCATAGTTTCCTTGAAGAATCCAATGCTCTTTCCAGAGGAGCTAGGTAGATGACTTAAGCCTTAAGTGATGTCAGTGGACTACAACTTTCCAGTTTGTACAACTCTTAGTCAACATTGCCAATTATATTCATTTGTCTCCTGCGTTTGACCATAACATAATTTTTTCTGACATACAGTAGACAAAAAATGAATCAAGGAGCCTTAGTATTTTTGTGGAGTGTTGGTTAAATCAGACAAAAAATAGTGAGCATGAGACATGATTATATCATGTAGAATTGAAACACTGAAATTTGTGTGCATCTGGAGCAAAGTGGTGGTGTTGCTTATGCTAAAGCTTTACTCTTAACTGTGGTAAAATATCTTTTATGGAAAATACTGAATATGAGAGGGTGCTCCAGTCTGAGCCGTTTGTGTGAAGTCTGTATTTTCTATAGTAAGATGCTGATGTATAGTAGATCTCTCTACAACAGCTTTCCCATTCCTGGATAATTTTTAAATTTTAAAAGTTTAAAGTTTAAAATTCATTACTGTAAAGATCAGAGTTTATATAACTGATTCTGCTCTATGAATTATATAATATAAATATTTAGGCACTTCTAAATGTTAATGTAAATACCGACATACATAGGATCATCTATTTTAGATATGCCATATATTTGTTTTAAACTTAAATTCTTATCAGGTCTTATCCAACAAACATGTGGCTCCAGATCATTTGTTGCAAATTTGCAAGCGTATTGGACCTATACTGGATAAAGAGATTCCACCCAGCATTTCAAGAGTGAATTCCTTACTTGGTGCAGGGAGGCAGTCATTGCTACGTACAGCGAAAGGTATTGTTTTGTTTTATTAATTATTTAAATTTTTGCAATGCAGTGGGGAGTGGGGCGGGAAGCCTGTCCAGGGGTCTGAGCGCTATTGCCATGTATTAAAAGTAAACCCTGCAAATTTTCCAAGACTAGGAGGGGAAACTGAAACAACCCTGGCCGCTAATATTAGCTATCGGCACACAAATAATCTGCAGTCAGCTCACTCCTCCTGCTCTGAAGATCAACAGATTTCGGCTATTTTGGACTAAGAATGGGGACAATGAATTGCAAAATTCAGACCACTGATAGAGAGTACTCTCTTAGCAGCTCCCTTTGTTTAATTTAGACTAAGAATGTTCTTGTTTGAGCACCTCCTCTGACCACTGTCATAGGGAATATCTTTGAGAAAGGGATGGGCTTGAATAGAAAGGGCCCAAGTCAGTTAGGGCTTTATAGGTCAAAAACAACAGACTGACTTCACCCATAATCCAGTAGAGAGCGAATGCAGATATCTCTCACCTTGTCTACCTAGTACTTTCCAAATACTTTGCCCAGTGCTTGGATAGGGGCACAGATGAGGGCTAGCTTGCTGATGTTCAATCCAGATAAAGTGGAAGTGATGTTGGTAGGATGAGGGGAAGCAACTGGAAGATAAGTCAGTGATTTGTATGTGTGCCTTTACTCTGGGTGTGTACCTGCTGTTTGTTATGAGCGTTTGAATACTGTTGGATTCCCAGCTGCTCTTAGTGACACCAATGACCAGGACAGCTTTTTTCATTTGCACTGGACCAGGAGTTGACAGTTTCTTTGACCCACACTTTGCTAATTTGATCCATGCTTTTGCTGTTGCAACAATTTAATCTTGAGGTATGCTATGCATGGAGGTATGTGTGAAACTTCACTTAAGCCAGCTTTTTCAGTTTCTGAGCAGATTAAGGTATAGTTCCACCTCCATAAATGTAGAAATAGATACTTGGTGATTATTGCTAGATTGTGAATGTCAGGTGATGAATGTTTAATTTTTGAGCAATGGTTGCACAATTGTTTCTTTCAGAGAGGCTGGCAACTTACTTTTCCCACAGAAAGTCACGACAACCTCTCTTTCAAAGGAGAGTTCCGTCCAATGGAGGTAGCCAGAACTAATCAAGCTGTCTATGACTGAACAGATCCACTGATTGAAAATTTGTGGGTGTTATGGAAGAGGCAAAGAAACCCTCTTCTCAGTCATGACAAGATGTTTTAAAAAACACAACCTTTTGCTACCTATCAGATTGGCATGAGACTACTGTCACCAGTGCTCTATCTGTCTTTAATCCCACTTCAGTTGTTGATGGGTCATTGGTAAACATGGTGACCTGTGAGAACAAAGTGGGGGAAGAGAATGCCTAAAAGCCACTTAAGCAATAGTTGAGGACGAAATATTATAAAACCCAACCCAAACCCTTCTTAGAGTAGTTTTTAATTGGAGTCATATCCTCCCTTGGAGCCTTTTGGAAATGCTCTGGTTTTTTATGCCTTCGTATACCATCAAGAGGTTCCTGACTTCAGCTGAGGTCCATTCCAATCTCAATTTGTGAAGATACCTCTCTGAGTATCTGCCTCAGATCATGATGGGGCTTTTCAGTGTATCAAGGCACTCTGTACACAAATGCCAGTCCCTTTTTGACTCTGCTTGTGGATCTCGAGGGATAACATGGTAGTGATCCATTTTTTGGAGTAGGAGAGCTCCTGCATTTTGTGTTTGATAGAAATGGCTCACTATATATAACACCACCAATTGTGCCAAAACCAATCCAGCAGTGTCTTCCCATTCACATTTTAGTAATACATGTGAAGTCGGGCCTCATTTCTGATCGTGGATGGTTGACAGTAATGCTAGGCTGGTGATTAAGTAATCAGTAAGACCTTCAGGTGTTTCTAGTGTATTTGTATGTGAGAGAAATTCTGTGGGGTTTGTATTATTTTTTTAACTGCATTTTATGGTGTGGACTATTTTAGCGGATGCCACTGCATTTCCCAGTTACCTCTCTTCTGCACTTCACTAGCTCCACAGTGAATGGGGCAGTGACTTTGCATTTGTTGTGAATCAGACTTGCCCCCATTTCAGCACTCGACCTGTTAAAATAAATAACTTTTAATATTGGGGAAAGTCTCCTCTCTTCCTGTAGTCAAACAGCTGACCCGCTGGCACAAATTTAAAAATAAATAAATAAATACATAAATAATAACAATAAAAAAAAAAGCTGCCTTTGGGCAGAAAACAGTCCTATAAAATGTCAGCCTAAAAGGTGACAGTGTTGAAAAGATATAAAACGGGTAGAATGGAAATTCTTGTGCAACCCGATCTGCAGTACTAGCTACTTACATATAACATGTAAAAAAGTTTCTTATGGTGATATTGGATGGACAGAGTGCAGTTCTTTGAGGGGGAACTTCTCGTTTTAAATAAATCTTTAAGTGCTTTCATTGTTTTGGAAAAAGGGACCCATAATACTTTTCAAGAATAGCCTAGACACATGTGATCTTATTTTTATTATCTGTAAACTGCCATGAAGACAGATGTTGCTAAAAATATATTTTGCAAAAAAACTTTATAAGTTGACTTCGAATAGCCAGAGTTATTTTGTTGCTTTATTTATAACCGCATCAATAATGCAGATAACTCAATTAGTAAATCATTTACTGTATAAATGTATCATCTGTATTTTGTGCAGAAATGAGTATGTTGGTACTTCACAAATAATTAAAGTCCTCTGAGCCTTTGGAGCAAGTGACTGTGTGTGTCATTATTAAACCTCCCTTGCCAGGACAGTATTGTAACCTGTCTTAAAACTAGGCTTTCAAACTGTTGTTGGAAAGTTTTAGGTTGAGAGGTTCTGAGCTTCTTCAGCTCTTGTTAAATTTAATATTGCGGTACGAGGCCCTTTGGCAGGCTTATTCATTACTGTTTTTGCTAAACTTTGTAATGGATTTCAGAACAGTAACATTTGTTTTGCTTTTCTGAAATGTGCTCTTATGGGTAACTTTCTATACAACTAACATTGATATCAAAGATTGCAGGAATACTGTTTGGAAGTGCTCTGCTTTAGCTGCTCTTCGTAGAGGAAGACCTCCTGAAATTCCTGTAAACTATGGCCCTCCACCAAGCATTGGTACGTAGATGATAAAATCACTTCTAACTTCAGTGTGATATGTATTTCTTGACACTTATATTCTCTATGCTTCTCTTCATATAAATAGTGATGGAAATTGCATTTAAGAACCAGCTCTAAAAGTTTACCTATAGAATCTTATATTACTTCAGTGGGGCTCTGCATGAGCACAGGGGTCCACCCATGTAGAATTCATTGCAGGAGAAAGGTGTTAGATTCTAAATGAAAGTCTTTCTGCTTTAAAAAACCCAGTGTACTAATAAGCAAATAGAGATACTTATGGTATCTGCAAGTCAGTGGTGTTTGGTTAAAAGGACTGTCTTGTTTATGAAAGTACATGGCAAAATGTGAGGTAGAAGATGCTGTCTGTCTTTGTAAAAAAAACTACTTTATTTGGGGCGAGATTACATTAAAAAGCTGCCCTGCTTCTTTGTAACATAAACCCACAAACTCAGAATAAACTTTGGAGTTCTGTACACAAGTTAGAGAGTCACTTTACTAAATCCAGTAATCTATTGGTTATGGAAGCAAGACAGAGTGGCTATCTACAGGAGACCTGTTTTTTTTTTTTTAATTATCATCTAAGCTCCCTAGAAATAGTTTTTAAACATGGCTTTTCACAGGATGATTTATTTTTTTTGCTTGCATTCTTTAATCTATTTGTATTTGTTTTAGTGGAAGTAAATCGTGCAAAACAATTAACTGGGTATGCAACATATAGAACATCATTTCCAGGAAGTATGTATCAGCACATAAGGATGCATAGGCGGATTCTTGGCCATCTCTCTGCAGTCTACTGTGTTGCATTTGATAGGACTGGACACAGAATATTTACTGTGAGTTGATGCTGTGAATGCTGGGTCTTCTAGAACTATTTCTAATTGGATATCGGGAAAGTAGCTTTTAAATGCTCAGTATTTATGCCTGAAATATTCAGACCTCAGAATTTAAAGTTTAGAAATAAAGCTAATTAGCTCCTGCACTTCATTTGGGTGAACTGTTTGGCATGTGTATGTAGGGGAGCATTTTTGAACTGTTAGCCGTTATTGCTTATTAGGTACTGATATCTACATACATGCTTTTTTCTTTGATACATTTCTTTGTTTTGGGTGTTGCATGTTTGTGAATAGTGGAGAAGGCGACTGGTTTTATGGTATAGAGCTTTTGTTTTAACTGCCGTTATTTTGTGGATTTGGTAATGGAGAGAACATTAACAAAAAGTCAGATTATTTTGATGTCATTTCAAATGTCTTCTGCTTGTGTTTGATATCAAAAACTGCTGTTATCTATTTGGATGAAACTAGGTTACTGTGAACTTCAGAGTAAGCCAAAATAACAAGGGATGACTTTTGTGTTATCAAACAGGCTGAAACTAACTTTTTTCCACTTAAGGCTAGATTAACAGAAGAATTTAAGCAGCTAAAAGGGAAGTTATATGCCTAAATTAAACATTTAGGCACCACTGAGATCCTCAAAACCTCTGCTCAGCTGGTGTCTAAAATTCCCCAGTGTGTGAGTTCCCACCAGCAGTGTTCCCTAGATGCCTAGGTTTCTGCTAATGAGTATGCACACACTCCAGGTGCCTCTCTCATGTCTAAGCCCCAGCAGGGTCTTCAGGCTGGGTGTTGCCCCACTTGTGAGGCTTGATCCAGTTGTTGTTCTCAGAGTATGCCAGAATACTCTGTCAATGTGCAAAGCAAACATGATTCTGGGATGCATTAACAGGTGTGTTGTGAGCAAGACACGAGAAGTCATTCTTCCGGTCTACTCTGCGCTGGTTAGGCCTCAACTGGAGTATTGTGTCCAGTTCTGGGCACCACATTTCGAGACAGATGTGGAGAAATTGGAGAGGGTCCAGAGAAGAGCAACAAGAATGATTAAAGGGCTTGAGAACATGACCTGTGAAGGAAGGCTGAAAGAATTGGGTTTGTTTAGTTTGGAAAAGAGAAGACTGAGAAGGGGACATGATAGCAGTTTTCAGGTATCTAAAAGGGTGTCATGAGGAGGAGGGAGAAAACTTGTTCACTTTAGCCCCTAAGGATAGAACAAGAAGCAGTGGGCTTAAATTTCAGCAAGGGAGGTTTAGGTTGGACATTAGGAAAAAGTTCCTAACTGTCAGGGTGGTTAAACACTGGAATAAACTGCCTAGGGAGGTTGTGGAATCTCCATCTCTGGAGATATTTAAGAGTAGGTTAGATAAATGTCTATCTGGGATGGTCTAGACAGTATTTGGTCCTGCCATGAGGGCAGGGGACTGGACTCGATGACCTCTCGAGGTCTCTTCCAGTCCTGGAATCGATGAATCTATGAATGCTGGGAGGGAGTGATGGGCTGGGGGGAGAAGGAGGCAGCCTGTCTTATCTTTATTCCAGTGGCTAGGGCACTCACTTGCATGTGGGAGTTCCTAGTTCGTTTCTCTCCTATACCTGATGTGGCGAAGAAATTTGAACTTGGATTTTCTACCTCTCAGGTGAATGCCGTAGCTCTTGGATTATACAGCAGACGTTCGCTAGAACGCGCGTCTTTATAGTGCGAATTCGGTTATAGCGGGGGACCGCGCATGGATTCCAAATTTAATTACCTTCATTGGAATCCATGGTAACGCGGTCCCCGTGTTAACGCAGGACCGCGCATGGATCCAAAACCCTGCGTTCTAGCGGGGGTCCGGTGTACTCATTTTTTTTCTCTTTGGCTCAGTGAATAATTATTTATGCACAATGGAGTAGCCTCAACAGGAGAGATTGAGACCCACACCAAAATATTCTATAGTCCAGTGGCTAGGACTCTCACCTGAGAGGTGGGAAATCCAAGTTCAAGTCCCTACTCCACATTAGACAGAGGGGGAAATTGAGTCTTCCACACCCCAGGTGAGTGCTGTACCCACTGGGCTAAAAGTTGGAGGCTGCTCCCTCCTCCTTCCCATGGTTGTTTCTTAACAAAAATAGCTTAGGCACCTAACTCCAGGTGAGGGTTCCTGGGTGAGAATCCCAAGCAGAGATAGATGCCTAATTCGATGAAAGGGATGTAGCTTTTTCACTAATTTTTGTGACTCGAGCCACTATGCAATATGACTAAATTTTAGGTTCCATAAACACCAATAGCATAAGCAGGGTTTAATAGAAAATCTTAATTTTCCAGACTCAGAATGTATTTCATCATCTTTAAAGACAAAACTGAAGCAGATAGTATCTTGAGTATTTATAAACTTGGACTTATGCCAGGTTCTGTAACCCTTTTTTCTTAGGGTTCAGATGATTGCTTGGTGAAAATTTGGTCAACTCACAATGGCCGGTTGCTCGCCACACTACGAGGTCATTCAGCCGAGATTTCTGATATGGCTGTGAATTATGAAAACACTATGATTGCAGCTGGAAGCTGTGATAAAATGATCAGGGTATGGTGTCTGAGAACTTGCGCACCAGTTGCTGTGCTCCAGGGACACACGGGATCCATTACATCTTTACAGGTATATTTCTAATGAATGGGCATGTCTATCCTTCGTCTTGTAGCTTTGTATTTTCAACATCTAATAGCACACAAGCATTAAAACATACTAATACCATAATGATGTTTAGTTTTATGCCTCCAAATTCGTTGTAAAAACCACTGACAGTTTGTGTAAAACAGAAGGTAACATGTTTTATTTGATCTTGTGGTTTTATTTCGCTGTTAGTAAGAATTGTAGTATTGGATAAAAATCTAGTATCTTATTTTGACAAATGTGTATATAAGCGAAAAGACTTGTCCAAATAGAAGCAAACAGCAATACGGTAAAAGACAACATTCAGGAGTCAGCTTTATTTTGCTGTTCTCTTGCCTGAGCCTGATTAATACACCCTACACTTCTAACTAGCTAGAATTTTGGCTGATAGTAGTGTTTTTAAAAAAAACTCACGCAGTCCTTAGATATTGTGACGGTCTTGACTTGAGGAAAGTACATATAAATATTTTTATAAGTGTTCCAGCAAATTGAAGTGCAAGACATGTTCAAAAAGCAAAGAGAGAAGTTTAGACATTAAACACTTAGCTGTCAGCAAGTTCAGGTGTTGTGAAGAGAGGAAGCCAGTTGCGGCCTCATGTGGCTCTCAAATCACAGAATTCCATTTATAAAAAAAGAAACGCAAAGGCACTAGCCTGGCTAAACCTATAAACAAAATCTGAGATAAATTGGACAAAAAATATAGGCCTGATCTATCATCAAAACTTAGGTCAACAAAGCTACGGCATTCAGGGGTGTGGAAAAATCTACACCTGAGCACTGTAGCTGTGCCAACCTAATCCCTGAGGTAGACATAGCTAGATCAACAAAAAAAGTTCTTAGATTGATCTATCTACTGCTGCTTTGGAAGTTGGAGTTCTTACAGTGATAGGAAAAACCCATTCCATAACTGTAGTCTGTGTCTATGCTACAGAGTTAGAGTGGCATAGTGTTACCAGATTTGCCCGTTACTTTGGGGTATGCTCATTTATTAAGGTTACTCTTCTTGGGGTAGGGGGGTTCTGTAATTCTATCAGTGTACTGCTTGTGTCACTTGTGTTTTCATACGGAGCTCTACTTCTCCCTTCTGCAAGTTCCCTCCCAATGGAGCTATCCTGCAGGACCCACGGTCCCCAGGGCTGGGTTCTTCCAGCCCTAGAATCGGATGAACGAACACACACACACACACACACACATTAACAGAGCGTGTCTGAGAGGACCGGGTTAATCAGCACTCCCAAGCTGACTCCTTTTATGTCACTGGATTTAGTAGGCTGGGTTGAGCAGCATTTCTAAGCTGTCACCCTTATATGCCCCTGGACTCAGCAGATTCATATGTCCCATGTTCAGCACATGTCCTGTGTTCAGTCCCTATCCCCACTTTCACATTACAATTGTCCTGGTAGTAACCCACCTGATGAGCAAACCCCACAGGATTTTTGTGCGCTGCAGGGATATTTATTTTAGGTACGAGGAGCTTTGCTGCAGAATGAATGAGGAAGCCAAAAAAACACCCACGGGGGGGCGGGCGAGAGAAGCAACCAGCTTAATCATGAAAGTTATTTATTGCCAGGTAATAACTATAGGGGAGCCAAACAAACAAAACAGTTATAATATTAAATCTAACTTAAATTTAATTATAAAAGTCAGGTTTAGAAAACTATAACTGATCACACAAGTCAGGGTCAGAAGGCTATACTGAGAGATAGAGAGAGATGGGTTCTCATCACTCCATGAAGCTTGAATCGATCGGGGTTCCCAGGTGGTGGTGGTAGCTGAGGGTCCGGAGTGCTGGAGACCTGCAGAGCCCCTGGCACGATCAGTCAGGAGAAGATGAAGTCCCAATGGAACTAATGCAGATTTTGGATCCAGGCATCAAAACACTTGAGCATGGGTAGGAGTTTTTGTAGGGGAAGAGCAATGGTTCAAGGGAGAACACTAGCTTTGTTTATGGCTAAACTGATGGCTCAAGGGAATATACCAAAGTTGTTTTGTTCAGGCTAGACAATAGGAGCTGATCATTCCTGCAGTGGGAGGTGTTCTTTCCAGGGAGCTCCCAATGTAATTAGGCAGGCGGCTTCAGTATTTTGGATACCAATAAAGGATTTATTACTAGAATTGGCCTGATAACTACTGAGCTGGGTGTGTGCAGGTGTGGGTTCATTAACATCTGGAGCAGAGATCCCCATCATGCAGTGCTTTTCTGGTCCCATAGTTCAGTGCGGTTCTTGCCTTGCAATCTCTGTTCTCTATTCTGTATGCTAATGGAGATGCCTCCCTGTCCCATCTTCAATGCAAATGAGGCTAGGGGAGTTTCCTTAATCCTGTCACCCTTGTCTGGAGGAGTTTAGGTGTCTCCCCCACTGCCTTTTCATTGCTTTTTGTAAGTCTTTCTTCTGATCTGCTTTGGTTCAAGCAGAGGCTGGGTGGGGGGAAGGTCTTTCATGAGTCAGACAGGATGGGTACTGCACCCTGGTTCCCCAAGAACACAGAGCTGATGGGTAACAATAGCTTCAGTGGTGTAGCTGTACTGCTGTAATGCCTCTAGTGTAGACATGACCGGGGATGTTTTTGTGTTGAGTCAGGAAAGCTAAAGAGAAATTAATTCAGTAATAGCAGTTAGACTAGTCAGAGGATGCACTAAGATTAGCTATCCTATAGGAGGACAAGTACCTGACTCTCAATTGGTGGCCACAGTCTAGGGAAATTCTGCTGCCCATGTGATAAGAGCCTGGACTTAATGGCTCTGTTATGTTAATACCCTCTGACAGTGAAAATTAGTTACTACTTTTGTATTTTGAGACAAATCACTTTGAGACAAATAACTCCTAATTCATCCAGTAAAAATTTTACAGCAAATTGATGTTCTGATAGGTTGGAGGGGGAAGTAAATGTGGCAGGTTATTTTAAACTTTGTGGTTTTGACATGACTGAATTTTCTTTCAAAGTATATGTATGGTATTGACATATTTACCAGTACTAAGGTCAGAATTTTCAAAACTATAGGTGTCTAAAGTTTGGCTTCTAAATCCGTGGGGGGGTGGGGACCTAATGAAAGTTACTGTGGTTTTCTGACATAACCCCTTCTTCCACTGAAGTTAATGAAAGAATAGTTTTGGTTCTTTTTTAATAAAAGGACAGTATTAGGGTAAAAATTATATATTTCATTTAAGAGAATACATTAATACTGAATGATACAAAACAAAAATAAAACTCATATATGCACGAAAACATACTACCTCGACTGTTTTATGTCAACATAAATTATTAAAATCAAGACTTTAAAATATTGTAATCTTGTCACTTGTTTCCATTTCTCTCAGTTTAGAGTAAAAATAGACTAATCAGTTTCATATCTCACTTGTATGTTAGGATATTGTGAATATTGCAGAGGAATATTCCTTTCAAAGAACTATTTCTCAGGTTTAATATCAATTTATTTTAAACTTACCCCATAAAATATTCTAAAACTTTATATTTCAGAATTAAATTGATTTGATAATGTGTTAAGAAAAACACACTATGCTTGAGAAACAGCAGTCCACAGTTTCTGACTTTATCTTAAAACACGCAAACATAGGACTCGTATTTTGGGAATAAATGCACAAGTTTATTCTGTATGTTCTGTTGTGTGTAGTAGGTAATCCACTCTCTACTTTCAATATATAATGTACACACCTCTACCTCAATATAACGCTGTCCTCGGGAGCCAAAAAATCCTACCTCGTTATAGGTGAAACCGCGTTATATCGAACTTGCTTTGATCCACCGGAGTGCGCAGCCCCGCCCCCCCCGGAGCACTGCTTTACCGCGTCATATCCGCATTCGTGTTATATTGGGTCGCATTATATCGGGGTAGAGGTGTACTTTAATGTGAGTGCTGTGTTTTAACCATAGTCTTTCAAACTTTGCATATTTTAGGACCTTGTAATTCCACTTTTAACAAATCATACAGCAGGTTGTTTATTAGAAAATTTATACAATTTGCCACCAGTGCAGGCTGGTTTGGGGGAGAGGAGCGGAAGGCTGGCATCTTCACCACACCCTTGTCTTACAGAAATCAATAGAAGATAAGTTCTCTTTCACCCAATTCTGTTTCCCTCCAGCACTCTGGAGTTGAGGTTCCTTTTCATTCCTGCACAGTTTGTGGTGCTTGTAAGCATTGCTTTGTCTCAGCACCCATTATACGTGACTTTTAAAATGCAGAACGCGAGTAGGCTGGTGGATTTGTTGAGTATTTGTACCTGAGACAGTTGTGTTGAATTTTCTTGTTGGCTGCTAAGCTTTGTGACTTTAATACTACTTTTACAAAATTGCATAAGGTTTTTGGTGTTGGGAAGAGTTGAAAAAAGTTAACCACTGTGTATGTTGCTTTTCACATCTCCTGTGTAGCTCTTTTTAAAGAGGTAGTCACCTGCGTAGCTTTGAATCAGTATCCTTAAAGAAAAGCATCAATATGTGAACTTACATGTACAGAGCAAGTTACCTGTAAATGGTTAGACCAGGGGTAGGCAACCTTTCAGAAGTGGTGTGCCGAGTCTTCATTTATTCACTTTAATTTAAGGTTTTGCGTGCCGGTAATACATTTTGACATTTTTAGAAGGTCTCTCTCTATAAGTCTATATTATATAACTAAACTAATGTTGTATGTAAAGTAAACAAGGTTTTCAAAATGTTTAAGAAGCTTCATTTAAAATTAAATTAAAATGCTGATCTTACGCCACCAGCCTGCTCAGCCCGCTGCCAGCCTGGGGTTCTGTTCACCTAGGCTGGCAGCGGGCTGAGCTGGGCCTGCGGCTGGGATGCCGGCTGGCAAGGGGCCGGCAGCCGGGACCCGAGACCTGGGGGGGGCGGTTTCAGGGGTCAGGGCAGAGGGCTGGGGGTGCAGGGCAGAAGGCTGGGTGTGTGGGGGGGTTCAGGGGTCAGGGCAGAGGGCTGGGTGTGTGTGGGGGGTTCAGGGCAGAAGGCTGGGTTTGGGGGGGGTTTAGGGGTCAGGGCAGAGGGCTGGGTGTGTGTGGAGGTGCAGGGCAGAAGGCTGGGTGTGTGTGTGTGGGGGGGGTCAGGGCAGAGGGCTGGGGTGCTCGGCTCGTGGGGGTGCTCCCAGCTCCCTGCCCTAAGCGGCTCATGGCAGGGGGCTGGAAGGGATATGCCCTTTTCCACCCCCCTTCCCCAAGATCCCGTCCCTACCTCTTCTCTGCCTCCTCTACGGAGCAGGAAGCATGCTGCCGCTCGGCTCTGCTCTGCTCCGCTCCCCCTCCCCCTCGCAAGGGCCATCAGCTGATCGGCGCAGGGAGGGGGAGGAGGAGGGGTAGGAAAGCACCACGCTGGGGGAAGAAGCGGGGGAGTGGGGAAGCTTGGCTGCCGCAGGACCAAGCTTCTGCCTCCTGCCCCCGCAGGGGAGAGCAGTGGGCGGGGAGGACTGAGTGGGGCTGAGGGCCGGGACCTAGGCAGCGTGCCACTCAAAATCGGCTTGTGTGCCGTGTTTGGCAGGCGTACCGTAGGTTGCCGACCCCTGGGTTAGACAACGCTAGTTTAAGTGTGTGACCTGGTTAAAACAGAACATATAACAAGTACCTGCTTAGTGCAGATTTCCTCCACTGTCTTTAGAATGCTGTGTTTGCTACCTAGAACAATTCACTGACAAATTTTCAGTGAACTGCGATAGTCAATTGAGATTTTTTTTAAAAGGAGTAAAACATCTCTTGCACTTGCCTCTTTTTTTCTTTTAAATATAGTTATGGCTGGTTATGGCTGGAATACACAAGATAAACCCAACTTAAAACCTTCTATTTCAGGACCTATAACTTTGTTGTATGTGTCAGCAATTGAATTTCAACTGTTCCCATAATTCATTAGAATCTAGAATAATTAAATTATATGAATTTGTAAAAAGTTAACTTATTTTCTTTCTTATGAAATTTCAAACAGGGAACATTGTCATTAAAAAAAATTGCAAGTTTTTAGCTTAACATTTCTTGTGTATGGCTTTAACTTTAGTTTAGTCCAATGGTCAAAGGCTCCATGCGCTACATGGTCTCTACTGGTGCAGATGGAACAGTTTGCTTTTGGCAATGGGATGCAGATTCCATGAAATTCAGGTATGTAAGTGGGTTCCTGTTTAGCTCTTCAGATGTCTTCCCTTTCTTGATTATAAGATGGCAGTTATTTTGTGGAGTGTAAATTGACTTTTTAAATATAAATAATCTTTTGATGTTTACACATAGAAAAGCTTAAAATATCCCATACAGCAGCCTACAGAATATTTAAGTGCCATTACACACTGCATTCATTACAGACTTGTGCTCGATTCATTGTCCTGAGGAATGAACAGACCAATTCACTAGATTCTTACGACATCAGAAACACTGTGGGAAAAGTAAAATGGAAAATCTTAGTATATTAGACCCATATAGTAAAGGTATTTTTGCTGTCTGAGTTTGACAGTCCTGTTGTTCTGGGACCCCCTACTTTTGTTCATTTAATGAAACTTGTGTGTACAAGTGTATTTAAAAGATGCTGTTATCATGTTCAATTCATAACTGCCACAATTTACAGTTTTGATATGGAATTTGTTTACTAAATTAGTAATATTCCTAGTACTAAGCAGGAATACATGATCAGAATATATTTAACATTACTCCATGGAAGTGGTCATAATATCTAATACAGAATACTCAAATTTGTTGAACTGTTCCAGTATGTCTAATGTGGAAACTTCCAGTACTTGAGCAAAAAAGCCTGTAATTCAGATTGTGAAAAGAAGTCACTTACGCCTGTGCCAGTGAAGTCAGTGTAGTTGCAAAGGTGTTACTAAGTCACAGTTTGGCTCAAAGAGCATTTTACTGATACGTGACACAGAAAAGTCCAAGGTTCACTCTCTGTTCCCAGTTTTAGTTTATAGGGCTAGTAGTTTAAAAATAAGTTTAAAAAATAAATACAAGTAACATTTACTTCTATAGTGCATTTCAACTGTAGATCTCAAAGCACTTTACATTTAATATTATTGTGTTCAAAGTCCCCAATCAGGATTTGGCCCCCATTGTACTGGGTGATGTACAAACATAAGACATAATTCTTGCGTTGTTATATGAGGGAGTTTTGTAAACAAAATACCTGTGTTCTGGAAGTCATTAAGGTAATTAACATGGAAACACAAAATGCCATTTTTACAGTTAATTTTTGGAGTAGAACAGCATTTCAGTTACAGGATTTTTTTTCTTAATTAACAAAGTTGGGCATATAACTGACTTTTTAAAATCTTACCTTTTCATCTCTCCCAGATCCATATTTATCAGTATCTATTCCATGAGTGATTACAATATATGCTTAGCTGGTGACATTGCATCGTCACAGAGCATGAAACCAAGCTTTTTACTCAACAGTTGCATATCTTTGCAAAACTTTGATTTTTAAATCTGTTTTACACCTCATAAAATTACATGAAACTGCAGAATCCTGGGAAATACCTTACCCCTGTAGGCCAAGCTCCATATGTGATGCAATGTAACCAGCATAGCACTTATTGGACATGTCATGGAGTGTGTAAATCAGATTTGCAAAGAAGAGAAAACCCAAACTGTGGGGAACTCCATATTACCTCTGCTCTTTCAGTGTGTGTATTCATAAATTCACGAATATATTTAAAAAAAAATTAGGACTGTCAAGTGATTAAAAAAATTAATTGCGTGATTAATCTGATTAATCACATGATTAACCAACAATAGAATACCATTTATTTAAATATTTTTGGATGTTTTCTACATTTTCAAATATATTGATTTAAATTACAACACAGAATACAAAGAGTACAGTGCTTACTATATTTATTTTTTATTACAAGTATTTGCACTGTATAAAAACAAAAGAAATAGTATTTTTCAATTCACCTCATACAAGTACTGTAGTGCAATCTCTTTATCATGAAAGTTGAACTTACAAATGTAGAATTATGTACGAAAAAAACTACATTCAAAAATAAAACGTAAAATTTTAGAGCCTGCAAGTCCACTCAGACCTACTTCTTGTTCAGCCAATCACCCAGACAAACAAGTTTGTTTACGTTTGCAGAAGATAATACTGCCCGCTTCTTGTTTACAATGTGACCTGAAAGTGAGAACAGGTGTTCTCATGGCACTGTTTGTAGCAGGTGTCGCAAGATGTTTATGTGCGAGATGTGCTAATGTTTCATATATCCCTTCATGCTTCAACCACCATTCCAGGGGATATGCATCAATGCTGATGATGGGTTCTGCTCGATAACAATCCAAAGCAGTGCAGACTGATGCATGTTCATTTTCATTATCTGAGTCAGATGCCACCAGCAGAAGGTTGATTTTCTTTTTTGGTGGTTCGGGTTCTGTAGTTTCTGCATCAGAGTGTTGCTCTTTAAAGCCTTCTGAAAGCATGCTCCACACCTTGTCCCTCTCAGATTTTGGATGGCACTTCAGCTTCTTAAACCTTGGGTCGAGTGCTGTAGCTGTCTTTAGAAATCTCACATTGGTACCTTCTTTGCGTTTTGTCAAATGTGCCATGAAAGTGTTCTTAAAATGAGCAACATGTGCTGGGTCATCCATCTGAGACTGCTATAACATGAAATATGTGGCAGAATGCAGGTAAAATAGAACATGGGACATACAATTCTCACCCAAGGAATTCAGTCACAAATTTAATTAACACATTTTTTTAATGAGCATCATCAGCATGGAAGCATGTTCTCTGGAATGGTGGCCGAAGCATGAACGGGCCTATGAATGTTTAGTATATCTGGCACGTAAATACCTTGCAATGCTGGCTACACAAGTGCCATGCAAATGCCTGTTCTCACTTTCTGGTGACATTGTAAATAAGAAGTGGGCAGCATTATCTCCTGTAAATGTAAACAAACTTGTTTGTCTGGGTGATTGGCTGAATAAGAAGTAGGACAGAGTGGACTTGTACACTCTGAAGTTTTACATTGTTTTGTTTTTGAGTGCAGTTATGTAACAAAAAAAATCTACATTTATAAGTTGTACTTTCACGACAAAGATTACAATACAGTACTAGTATGAGGTCAATTGAAAAATACTATTTTTTATCATTTTTACAGTGCAAATATTTGTAATAAACAATATACTCTTTGATTTGAGTTACAACACAGAATACTACACCTCTACCCCAATATAACGCTGTCCTCGGGAGCCAAAAAATCTTACCGCGTTATAGGTGAAACCGCGTTATATCACACTTGCTTTGATCTGCCGGAGTGCGCAGCCCCGCCCCCCTGGAGCACTGCTTTACCGCGTTATATCCAAATGACTGTTATATTGGATCGTGTTATATCGGGGTAGAGGTGTATATGAAAATGTAGAAAAACATCCAAAAAAATTTTCAGTTGGTGTTCTATTGTTTAACAGTGCGATTAAAATTGTGATTAATTGCAATTAATTTTTTTGAGTTAATCACATGAGTTAACTGCGATTAATCAACAGCCCCCTTTCTCCCCCGCTCCAAAAAATCAAACGCACAATAATTTGATGTCTTGGATGGAAACTGAGCTTACTGTAATTCTGACTTCTCACAAAGAAAACGTACATCACTTTAGATCCTTGACATTGGTGATTGTGCATGTGTTTGTGGCAATGTGTACTCAGATTTTGGAAGATTGTGTTAACCTTTAATCTTTACATTGCATGTCCTGATTTTTCAGCAACTTTTTTCTTTTAAAGTAATCGGCCAGTGAAGTTTACAGAGAAATCCAGACCTGGAGTTCAGATGCTATGTTCTTCTTTTAGCATTGGTAAGTTGTATGCATGTTGATATTGGCCATTTTTTCATTTTTTCCCACTAATCTACAAAAACATTGTCAATTTCAACTGTCCTGCACTTGTAATAAATCTTATAATTCCTCTCCTTGCACTCCAGAATTGGATGTAAGGATCCATATAACTTTATCCTGTTCTTTGTACAAAACCTCGTTTTATAGAATCCTAGAAATGTAGGGCTAGAATGGACCTAGAGGTTATCTAGTTCAGCCCCCTGCCCTGAGGCATGCCTAGACCATCCCTGACAGATGTTTGTCCAACCTGTTTTAAAAATCTCCAATGACAGGGATTGTACAATCTCTTGCAGAAGCCTATTCCAATGCTTAACAACTCTTACAGTTAGGTTTTCCATAATATCTAATCTAAATCTGCACCCCTGACTCCTTCACACTTGCTCCCAGATCCCTACAGTCATTGCTGATCTGATTAGGGTCATACCTGGCAGTATCATAAGTGTCCACATGGATGAGCAGCGTGGGGTAGTTGTCAGAGAGACTGATGAACCTTTCCATAACACCTTGGATGCAGGCTCCAGGCAGGTAGTGCATCTTCTGGGACAGCCGATCAGGCCAGCAGATGGATAATGTTTAGCATCTGGGAAAGAATGGACAAGACTTTCTTAACAAAGAACTTGTTACAACTGAACCTTGCAAGTTACTTTGCCCTCTCCTGTGCTGAGCACATCAGCTACTTCTGGAGCACTCTTTTCTGGTTGGGCAACAAGAGTATAGCTGTAAATACAATGTTGGGCTCCTACATGACACAGAACGTGACTGACATGCCCTATTGATACCTCCAGCCTAGAGAACTACATGATCTCTTGCATTTTCAGTGGGGATCTATCTATGTATCTACTCTGTGCATTCAGTAATGCTCTGAAGAGTCATCACAAAAACAATAGGTTGGCAAAAGGTTTGTGACAAATCTGCTGCTGCTTTTCTGGCTTGTGATTGGAGGATGATAGCTCATACAGGAGGGGGAAGGTTCTGTAGCCATTAAGAGGACAGTTGGAGACCTGGCGGGACAGCACTGAAGGTAGCTGTTCCAGGTGGTTACTGAGCTGGGGTTTCTGGAGTTGGATTCATCTGTATTAAGAGAAGCAGGATACATGTACGTAATGTAAATAAAATACACAGTGTGACTTCCTATCAGTATTTCTCCAGTAACCAAAACTGACCAACTGTAAGGCCCTGAAATTCACCAGAATTCTTACAAGGGGGCAACAGTATATTTAGAATGTGTAATGTGAATTTATTGGCTTTGCATGCACTTTGCACATGGCTTAATGTCTTGTATGTTTTGACCATGCTTCTTTCAGTTCCCAGTGGTTGGATGAATCCTTTATAAACAAAAGCAGGAGAATGAAAAATATATTGTCTGGATTCCCCCCCCCCCCCCTTTACTCTTTCCCGGCTATAAAATCTCTCATCTTGACCCTTCATTTCATTTACAATGTGGGTATTTCCAGTGAAGAATAGCCAATGTAACACTCTTTTGAACTATGGAGAAGTCTTTCTACTCTTAAAAACAGTAGATAATTTTAGCTGCAACCTTGTTTTAGAAAGTTCTCACTATTATACTTTCCTTTAATCTTTCATACTAAAATTTAGTGATTTTACTTTTTTATTATTTATGGCTAAAAAAGGATTTGTTAAGAAAAATGCAGTTTCACCCCACATTTGTATAGTGGGAAAAGAGCAAGATATTTGACACTGTCAGGATTTTAATCCATCATGTTCTACCTGATATTGTAACAAATGAAAATTCTTATCCACGTCAGCTTTTTAATTACTGTTTGAATTTTCAGGTGGTACGTTTCTAGCAACAGGCAGTACAGATCATGTTATCAGGATGTATTTTTTTGGCTCTGAAACACCTGAAAAAATAGCTGAACTGGAAAGCCATGCTGTAAGTAAGATTGTTAAATCTACAAGTCACCTATTTAAAATACTTGAAGAACTGTGTTGGGGCTTCTAGCAGCATTCTAGATATGGTTTTAAAAGTTTACTGGATTAAAATTTTGCATACTGGTGTGAAAATATAAGTGACAGTAACGTGAAACACTTATATGGGTTTAATGAATTGAAGGAGCATATCACAATGATATTCTTTTAAGTATGTTTTATTTTAAGTATGTTTCATACACTAAAGCCTCCTTATACAGTTCTGCAGGTGTAAAGTAAGGTAAATGTTGTTCTTATTTTAAGGTTTTATACCACTGTAGAAGTGTAATTTATTACAGCACCACAAATGAAAGTACACACATCTTGCATGTTTTACATTAGAATTTGTTTCAGGTTTTAATGTTAAACATGCAAGACATAAGTGTGTATTTTCATTTGTGATGCATTAATACATATCGGTTATACATGCTAAAATTGTTGTATTTATCACTTATGGATTTAAGCTTGCAATACTGTATGGTATAACTTGAAATTCAGTGACTATTTTAGATCAGAAGTACAGTTAGTCGGTATTTTCAATAAATATTTCTTCTTACAACATAAGTATTAGGGCCACTAAAGGCCACTTGAGTTGCATTAGTCTGACTCCTTGTATTTGATAGGACTGCTCCCAACATTGCTTTCCCTAATGGCTTATGTAACCTACTGAGTATCTACAGTGATGGTGCCCAATTTTCTCTTCAATTGCTCTTACTGTTAATAACTTCCTTAATGGCTAGCCTAAGTATTTTCTAGCATGTTCCCTGCTTTAAAAAAAAAAAAAAAAAATCCTTCCTTTATAGATGTTCTCTGGGGCCTGATTCACATTTATACTGCTCTGGAAGTGTAAAGGAGCCTTAAAGCAAGAATAAATTACATTTACCCTTACTTCACACTTGCAGAACTATAAAAGGAGGCCTTAGTGTATGAGAATTTGGCCCCCTGTGTTTATAGGCATTGTGATCTTGGGTCATTCTCCATAACATAAAAACTTAGCTTCTCTCCTTTGGTTCTTGTAAGTGTTATTGCTGCCTTATTTGGTAATTTGATTTAGTGTTTCTCCCGTTTATTGCTCATTTCCTGTAGTAACGAGATATCTACCCTTTATTATGGGTGCAGAAGCATTAGAGGAATGTAGACTAGCAAGCATGCTTACTTTTAATTTGTATATTATACCATTTTTTAGAGAGAGAGAGAGAGAGAGAGAGAGAGAGAGAGATGTATATGTAGAGAGAATGAAGGTGGGGGTGGAGGGGCAGGTAATATGTAATTCCATAGGACCACGGTTTTAGCAGTATGAGTTGGGAATGGTTACATTACTTGTGTGCCAATAAACCTTAATACATTAAGGTGTGGTATATAATGTGTACCACATGCTTTATAAAATAGGGTTTGAGGTTTTTAAATTTTTTTATGTATCATTCGCCTATGAAGTAAGGCATCTTTAGCACCATGAGTCCAGCTGTACAGGACTCTAAAGAGATACAAAACTATCAAATGTGTTTAAAACACCTCTACATGTCAGTTTTAAAGACAGATACCTTGGTAATTTTCAGGGTCAGAAACAAGAATTGTGTCTGGTTGGAAAGTGGTGTATTCACTTAGTGTAAAAATCCTATTTCCAGAGCTCATAAGTTGCTTTTTATCATACCTTAAACTTATCACTTGTGCAGGACAGGGTAGTGCATGTCCTGGGCCATGGGCGGGTGTGGTTCATGGAGAGGATTCTATATTTAGGCCCAGGAGAAGAGAACACATTTTTCTGGCAGGTTAATTTTTTTTAAATGACTGAAGCTGTTTAGAAGTTTTAAATGTTAGAATAGGTGTTAGTGGTGATGCACTAGTGGTCGGAGTGTAAGTAAGTGTGTCAAAGATGTATGAGAATTACATTTTATCTGTAGATCTGAGGTCTCAATGTGGTTATTAAATTTTTTCCCAAGAGTTATTAATGGCTTTTTAAATACTTACTATCTTCCTTTGTATCTCTGTTTCAGTTGCTTTCTTTCCAAATAATACTTTAACTTCCTCATTTTAATTATATGTTTTGGGGGGTGATAAGAGTTGATGAGTGTTGATCATTACCTTTAGGGAAGACTTCCAAAACTTGCAAATTTTCTGGCGTGGGTACATCATCTACTTGCCCATTCATTTTATATTGATGAAAATGAATAGCTAACTGTATTTCGTGTCTGGGGGGAACTTGCTTACTCTGCGCAAATATAATTTTGCTGTTGAAACCAGTTCCTCTAGATTCTAACTTGCTTAGAATAGTGAAAGTCCAAATTCAAATGTGAGTTAAATGCCTAGTTGCTAATGGGAAGTTACTTATTGATGGGTTTGTAACGTTTCACAAATTCATTCCAAGTACGTTAACAAGATGAGTTTAAAAAGTGGACCATTCTTTTAAAAGTTGCAATTTAAATTTAGCATCAGAACATTAGCAGATTCTACTAAGATAATTGTGTAGGGATCTGCTGACCTTGCAATTATACGTACCAGTTAGGATCAAAAAAATTCTGTACTGTGAAACTGTTTAATCAAAAACAACGAGGAGTCCTTGTGGCACTTTTGAGACAAACAAATTTATTTGGGCATACGCTTTCGTGGGCTAAAACCCACTTCATCAGGTTTTAGCCCACAAAAGTGTATGCCCAAATAAATTTGTTCGTCTCTAAGGTGCCACGAGGACTCCTCATTTTTGCTGATACAGACTAACACTGCTACCACTCTGAAACCTGTTTAATCAAAATTTGTTCTGAAATGGGACAGTTTTCTGCAGTGTGTTGCAAAAGAGATCACATTCTCTGGGACTTGGCTAATACTTTTTTCTGTTCCTATATGTTAACTTCTTTTGTGAAGAAGGCTGCGTACATTTTCTAAAAGAAATTAAGTTCCCGATTTAAAATAATTTAACTTCTAACCTCTCTCTCAAAAACTTTTTTTCTTTTGCAGGACAAAGTCGACAGCATTCAGTTTTCGAACGGTGGTGATAGGTATGTTGCAAGACTCAACATGTAAATATGTCCTTTAAATGTTTTGGCATTAAATAACTATTGTCACACTCATGGAGTGCTCAACTAAGAAAATCTGATATAGCTATAATTTGAAGGATGATCTACGTTTCTCTGGAGTGCAGTGTTCACTTTCGTTTCAGCTCTGTGCTTTTTTTCCCTGTGAATATTTTAACATATCTTCTATTTGGATAAGCTGATTTCTTTAAATATTATTATTATTCTATGGGAAAGTGTTGTCATATATCTAATAAGAATTAAGGGTTGGCTTTTCAAAGCAGTAAACATTGGCCTAACTCTGCTTCTTCCATTTAAGGCAGTGGTAAAATTCCCGTTGTCTTAAATGGGAACAGAGTTAACTGATGCTGAGCAGTTTTAAAAACCACACCCATAAATCTTACAAAGCAGCAGTGCATATATTTAAGCAAAGGACCCTGTCTGGATTGTCCAGGTTGGTATATCCTTCCAGTCACATTTAAGATGTCTGTAAAGTTGCTTTTTTCCCCTTTTTTTTGTGTGGTTTTTGTGGTGTTTTGTTTAACTGGCTCTTTGGTAGCTTGTTGGAGAAAGATCCTGAATATTGGGTTTGATGTAACAGGGGAAGGGAGGACACTTTGATTTGCTAGCTCCTGCTACTGGGGGTCCTTACAGAAGATGGCTCATTCTTTGACACTGTAGTAACGAGATATCTACCCCCTCCCCCTCCCAACCTCCTTGCTACACACCCTTTCCAGTACCCACTTCTCTTCCCACAGCTAGAAATGTCCTGTATCCTGCTAGTGTCAAGTTATGTCACAGGCATCTTCTCTCTCTCATCTGAGCATCAGTTTCCCTATGCATAATCCAGTTTTTCAGGGCATACTCTCCATTTAGCCTGCTTATCAGCTCCAGTATTACCTTTTTTGCCACCCCTTTTCCATGTCAGATGCTAGGAACGCTACACCTCTGCATCACATCCACTAGAAGCCCCCTAATTGGATCTAAGGCTTCAGGGGAAAGAAGTAGTAGGAAGAAACTATTTAATTTTATCATAATGCCCACAGGGCCATCTAAGTATTTGGACCCCATTGTACTTTGTGCTGTACAGAGACAAAGATAGACTCAGTTCCTGCACCAAGGAACTTACAATCTAAGAAATGGACTTATTTGGTGAAGTGTGCCAAGTATTGCTATGACACTGCACTGCTGTCTGCTCAGCTGTTTTGTTTTGCTAGTTGCTTCAGCAAACCACCCTAATTTTGCAATGTGTTTTGATCGGGAAATTAAAGCAGGGTCTGGAAACAGCAATGTCTTAAAATGATTTCATACAATTTTATTAAACTCTTTTCTTCAAGTATGGTTTTATAGAAAAAGGATTTTACAAAAAAGAGGGTGTTTTTAATGCAGCCAAAGTGCTGCTATTATTATTATAATAAAATGAATGGATATGATCTTATTACTTTAAATGCAGAAAAGATCCAAGACGGTAACTGAGTAGTATATTGATAAGTGGCATATTGGAACCATAAATTGCAAACTTTTTTGTTTTTTACTGGAGACCTAGATAACAGTGACTAAGAATGCTTTTGTAATCTATACCTGGCCTGGAGGTTGCAATTTTTCCTTATTAATATGTCTCTTTCTACAGTAATCCTTGTCTTTGGCACTTTCATATTGCAGTAACCCAGTGCTATCTACGTGGGGCTACTATTTTATGCAATCCAGAAATTATAATCGGTAGAAAGTATGGCTGCTTTCTTGCTTAGCTGTGCTTCTCATGCAGGATAGGGATGGAGCTCAGGCATAAATCTACCCTTGGTTGCAGTTCCTTTCCCAGTGCAATTTTAAAATATTATTTTTGATCTGTAAAGCCCTACATGAATTGCATCCAGGATATCTCAGGCTGCCTTTCTCTGTCTGATGCCATAGCATTTGAGCTAAGGGTTTTGATTTAATAAGGAAGGACCTGGAGACAAGGTTTTTCATGAAGAGTCCTTAACTCATTAAGAGTCCTTAGCTTTCCTGTTGTTCTGCCACTTCTCAAATTTGTTGACCTTGAGCTCACATAGAAAGCTCATCTTTTTCTTAGGCTTTCTCTGGGAAAGAAGTCTGAGTTTGGGTTGTTGGAGAGTCTAAGCCTGAATTGGAAAGATAACTTGTTTTGGTCGTTATTCCATTTTGTAGGTTTTATTTAACCTTGTGTTTATGCCCCCAGAACTCTGGATGGGTGTATTTTTAAGTAGAAATACTGTGACTATCTACTTTTGTGTACTAGATAAAATCTTTTATGATTATTTCAAGGTTCATAAGTGGCAGCAGAGATGGAACAGCCCATATCTGGCGTTTCCAGCAAACAGAATGGAGGAGCATCTTGTTGGATATGGCTGATAGGTTACCAGGGTAGGCTGAGTGTCTTCTATTTATGTGTGTTTATGGGGAGTCGGGTACTTTGAAAGATTCACTATATCTGCTTGGAATCTAATCTAAATTCTGCACCTTTTAATGTAAGTAAGTATGTTTGTTGTTTTTTGATTAGTGTATTAAAGAAGTTCCTCTTCAGTATAATATTCATTTTCTTCTTCAGAAGAAAAATGCCCATTGTTTACTGAAGCCTGCTGCATCTGATTCCTTTCTAGCAATCCAGAAGCCCTGTTCCTACCATAAATTGTAACTTTATCATAACTTGATTTGCTTTAATTAGCATAGCAATTTGATTTTTTTCCAAAAGTGTTCTCTAGTTTTCACCCACATATTGTGGCATCACAAACTGCTCCCAGAGTTTCAAAATGAAAATTCCGAAAATCTAAATGTGCTTCTAATTTTGAGGAAGTCAGTTTCATATGGGCTCCATCTAAAAAGATGGAGGTAATTTTGTGCACCCTATGAAATAAATACACTAAATTTTAGCAGTGCTTTCCCATTCCTCCTTCAGAGGCCTACATTCAGTGAATTGAATTTGTTTTATTTTGTGTCTCTCTTGTTTTCCACAAATCTTTTTGACATGCACATGTAGGGACTGTGAATTAAGACACACAAAGTGGGTTCAACAGCCTTTTTCTTTAAAAGAGAAGCAAGAGTAACTTAGAGTCAGACTTCAGGGCAGATTGAGAGTCCCAGATCCTTGGTTTCTGGTATCCTTATAGCTCATTCTGATTCTTAACTTCAATATTCTAATAAATTTCTTATTGAACTGTACTGTGTGACAACTTACACAAACATCCAATTCTCATGAAGCTTACCTAATTAAAAAAAAAAAGGTGAAATAAGATATCTGAACATCATTGGACTGTTGGGTGGATTTTTTTTAAGTATCAGTTCTTCAGTGGGTTCACTAACGTTTTGAGCCTAAAACATATCAGTGGTATATTTCCATTAAATTTAAAAATACATTTGTTTTGCATGCAATTTTGTGATTTAAAGTAAAACCTACCAAAGCAAGAAAACTCAGATTTAAAGTTTAAGATGTCAACACATTCTATGGTCAAGTTACTGCAGAAATATCAAAATAGTGGACAAGTTATTTACTAGAGTTTAATCCTTAGCTCAATATGTCAGATTTGTAAAATCACGAGAGTTCAATATTTGTTTAGATATTGAAATGAACACTTATTTTAAAAGTTATACTTACACTGGCGCTGTTCTTTTTAAATAGTGACTCTCATTCAGAAGAAGACAGATTTATGAAGCCGAAAGTAACAATGATAGCTTGGAATCAAAATGATAATTTTGTTGTTACTGCTGTGAATAATCATCTGCTAAAAGTTTGGAATTCTTATACTGGGCAATTACTTCATGATATGGTGGTATGTAATGATCTTACCTGCTTTTTAAAATATGCAGCCTTTCAATTTCATTAGTATTAAAGTGACATTTGCATGTTGAATTGGTCATTTAATTTGATTTGTCTTGGAAGCTTGTATCTGAATATAATGCATGTATAGTGCTTATTTAAAAAAAAAAAAAACACCCAAAAACCCAACAGCTTCCATCCCACCCAAAAAAAAAAAAAAAAAAAACCCAGTGTGTGCAAAACAATAATATTGAGCCTACCTTCCCTGTGAAATAGGGAAAAGCTTGAGACTTTTCTCCAGTAAATATCAAATCCCATTTTTTTAAATTAAGTAGGTATGTTGTAATCTTTGCTTGAATCCAGCCAGTGGTATGGTTCAAAAACAGTCTTTTCTTTGTCACAAGGTTCCCTGACTCTTGCACCCATCTTGTTTATTGTCACTTTCACAATTGCATGAATGTTGGACCACCAAAAGTTCTCAGATTTCTGGAGGCAGTCTGGAGGGTCTGAGGGTCTTAGAAGTCTAGGATGCATGAATTCAGAACTCTCTAACGTATTAATTGTAAACTTGTGATTTTTGTATGCCTATTTTTCCATATTAAAATAGGGACATACAGATGAAGTATTTGTGTTGGAGACCCACCCTTTTGATTCAAGGATTATGTTATCTGCAGGCCATGATGGCAATATCTTTATATGGGATATTACAAAAGGCATCAAAACTAAGCATTATTTTAACATGGTAAGATCAAATTATTGTATATTCCTCTGCCTTTTTCAGGATATGCAACATGTTTGAGCAATTGTGATCAGAGCATCTTCTCTCTCCCACTCTCCCTATTTTTGGGGCTTCTAAAATGATGGTTTAACTTTAATTTGGCCCTGTTGGTCTTTAAAGCCCTTATCTTGTGTAACCCCTGGTTATATTTAGACTAGCACCTCAAGGCTCATTCTGACAAGTAATTACATTGTCAGCTGTGTCTTTAAGAATGCTACTGTCATTTAAGTCAGCAAGTGATGGTGCCTTTTTTTGTGGTTCGCCCAACTACATGGAGCTCACTTCATTCTTGACAGCTGTCTTAGCCCATCCTTCTCCACTTTTAAATAACTTATTTTTTCCCCAAGTTGTGCTAGTATAACCACTGTTCACACTTTTTTTGTTTCTTTCTAGATGTAGACAATAAGGGATTGGCTTTGTATCTTGTACTTTGTCTTGAGGATATCTTTGTAAAGTGCTATAGCAGTGAGGTTCTTTAAAAAGTAGCATTTGATATTAAAGTGGCTTTGTTTAAAAATATAAAGCTTTGTAAAAAGCATGTTTTTAGCTGTTGTAGTTCAAATTACAGTAGATCCACAACCTTAAATAAGTCTCTTAAAATTTGGACCTATCTAGGAAATGAAATAGCTGACTATAGACTCTTGATTTTGCAATCTAAATATAATTTTATGTTCCTCTTTATTTATACTGAGAATAGGTTACATATGGTAGAGACCTAGGATAAATCTCTAAATTTCTCATATTCCCCTCTCAGCCGTATTTGAGGGTACGTTACTTGATAGGGCCCAAGCTAGTAATCACATCTGCATGGGTGAATGCTGCTGCCTTCACAAAGTCCAACTGACTTCAGAGAGACTCTCTACAGGTGTTAAGGGTCTTCCAATGCAGATCCAATTCCAAGATTGGAGTCCTAATTATCATGTAATGGGGAACGTTAAACTTAATGTAAGAAGAAAAATTTCACTGTAACATATAGTAGGAGAAACGTGACCTTGTTTTTAAATAACAGGGAGTCTCTGGTAATTGAAGTTTGGATAAGGCTGTACAATGTTGCTTGTTCCAAAAAATATGACAAAACCTACCTTGAGTTTCATTTCTTCAATCTAGATTGAAGGACAAGGACACGGTGCTGTTTTTGACTGCAAGTTTTCATCAGATGGACAACATTTTGCCTGTACAGATTCTCATGGGCATCTGTTGATATTTGGTTTTGGGTGTAACAAGCCTTATGAAAAGGTAAGTTCAGGTTTCAGTTGACATTTGTGATGATTAGAGAAATAAATGAATTCATGTGAAAAATATACTGCATACTTGGATATATGTATACTATCTTGACTTCTGGTTTGTTTTTGTTTTGTTTTTTTGCTTTGCTTAATAAGCAGTTATTTTTCTCTTAGACTGGCACTTCAGACATTCTTCTATCATAAAACAATCTTTCTAGTTGGGCAACAAGATTGTAGCTGTAAATACAATGTTGGGCTCTTACATGACACTTGGCACTTAGGATACTGCCAGGTATGACCCTAATCAGATCAGCAATGACTGCAAATTGTATTGCATTTACTATCGTAAAACTCTAGTTCCAAATTTATCATTTGAGAGTTTTTTCCCTAACTATCCTACCTATTCAACTTGGGATCAAAAAGGGAAAAGTGGTTCATTTCTTCTTGCTTATCACCATCAGTAATAAAAGTTCGGACTGTTATCTCTGACACTTTTGCACCCCCATTTTACTTCAGTGCAATTACTTGGATGTAACTGAAGGCTTAATTTTGATTGCAGAATCTTTATTTCTGGTGCTAATTCTTGATGAAGAAAGAACCTTGCCTGACTTTGCGATCCCACGGCAAATTTGTATGTTAGCAGTTAGAGAACCATATGTTTAGATGGAAACAAAGCTAATGTTTGCTAAATGTTAAATTAAAAATGGAAATTTGAAATGATGTTTTATAGTTACTTTTCAGGTTAGAGCAGTAATTTTATTTAATATAGGATTGCAGAACTTTCAATGTATTATCCTCTCAAAGACCAACGTACTGAATACTTTTAACTGCTTTCCTATCAAAATTTCTTTCTTTTATGGGGGATATGATATCGTCAGAGCAACACAAATCTAGGATGGCATAGGATCTTTGTGTGGCTTTTTTCCTTTTAAGAACTTGGTCTCTCTATACCAGGGATCGGCAACCTTTGGCACGCGGCTTGCCAAGGTAAGCACCTTTGCGGGCCGGGTCGGTTTGTTTACCTGCCACGTCCGCAGGTTCTGCCGATCGCAGCTCCCACTGGCCGCGGTTCGCCGTCCCAGGCCAATGGGGGCTGCAGGGAAGCAGCGCAGGCCAAGGGATGTGCTGGCCGCCGCTTCCCGCTGTTCCCATTGGCCAGTGGGAGCTGCGATTAGCCGAACTTGTGGACGTAGCTGGTAAACAAACCGGCCCTGCCCGCCAGGGGGCTTACCCTGGCGAGCTGCGTGCCAAAGGCTGCCAATCCCTGCTCTATACCAATTATCAGGGGGTAGCTGTGTTAGTCTGTATCCACAAAAACAAGGAGTCCGGTGGCACCTTAGAGACTAACAGATTTATTTGGGCATAAGCTTTCGTGGGTAAAAAGAAGTGGAAGAAAAAAGAAAGTGAAGTGGGTTTTTTACCCACGAAAGCTTATGCCCAAATAAATCTGTTAGTCTTTAAGGTGCCACCTGACTCCTTGTTGTTTCTATACCAATTGTTGCAATAGGAGGTAAATTTAGTATAATTTTCTTCTACATGCAAGTTCTTTAACATATCTTTTTTTCAAGTTGACAATATGCAAGCTTCATTTATTTCCAGATTCCTGATCAGATGTTCTTCCACACTGACTACCGACCATTGATTCGAGACGCTAACAATTATGTCCTAGATGAGCAAACACAACAGGCTCCTCATCTCATGCCACCTCCGTTCTTAGTAGATGTGGATGGAAACCCTCATCCAACAAAATACCAGAGATTAGTACCAGGAAGAGAGAACTGTGCAGACGAACATTTGATTCCTCAACTGGGATATATAGCAACAAGTAAGAATAGTAATTTCAACTTCGGGATCTGTCTGTGTCTGACTGGACTTTAGAATCATTACCATCTTTTGCATAGGAAAAGATTAATGTTCTACATTACGTCGAAGTTATTTATTTATTTTACTTGAGATTTATGTAGTTGGGTTTTAATGCAACTGTAATATATTGTCTTGTAACAAAAATGTCTACTGGATGTAATATTGTCTGATCAAGTGTATTTGCTATAGTTTCAGCTTCTAGTTGCTGGTTTACAAAGGGGATATAATCACTAATACACTGACAGGTAATGAAGATGGTGGTTTAGCTCAAATTGAAAAGATGTGAGTTCTTTGGAACAAAAGATTTTGTCCGTCTAGTCTCTTTTAGTTTATAATTGGTTTCCTGGCTGTATGCAACCATAGCATGGGTATGCAAGTATCAGTAAAGAAGTTTAAGAGACAAATTACAATTAAGACACATTAAGAGACAATATTACAAACAATTAAAAAAATCTTTGCCTGTGGTATGGATAACATCTTAAAATTATTGAAACAGTTTTTATTTTTTTTATTTTTTAATAAATTAATGGAGATATCCCATCTCCTAGAACTGGATGGGACCTTGAAAGGTCATCGAGTCTATCCCCCTGCCTTCACTAGCAGGACCAACTACTGATTTTGCCCCAGGTCCCTAAGTGGCCCCTCAAGGATTGAACTCACAACCCTGGGTTTAGCAGGTCAATGCTCAAACCACTGAGCTATCCCTCCCCTAATTTGCTTTTATGCTGTTTCTCCAAACCAAGAAATGCAAAGAGTAAACAGTGAAAATAGTCTGTTTCACATTTTTATGGCGGTTTTTTTGGTTAATTTCATTTTCTGATGCCATATTTGGGTTGCAGCTGTTGCAGGGCATATATTTTTTTTTAAAAACTCAAGAATTATTTCTGTTCATTTTAGGTTTGGTAAATGTGTCCTTTTAAAAATATTAAGTAATATAAATAACTTGGGTGATTATCCACGTTACGTTTCAGAATTATCCTCAAGTACTCAATTTTAGAAGAGCTTAATTTTTAAGGTGTGCTGTGAAGGTGATCAGCACAGCCAACTTTAGTTCTGTGGCAGTTAACCATTTTGCTTATGGTTTGTATTAAATTTGCCAGGTGATGGAGAGGTTGTTGAGCAAGTGATAGGCCAGCAAACTGTTGACCAGGATGAACAAAGTCTGGAGCCCAACATTCTTGATGGCATGATAAGACAGTTACAGCAACAGCAAGACCAAAGAACTGGATCAGATCAAGAAGTTGTTCCAAATGGACTACAGAATGGAGAAGGAACACCTAGAAGAGGTCAGTTACTACTGGTAAATATTTGTTTAGGTGTGGGGAGGGGGAAATCCCTTCATCTGAAAAGTTTTTTGTACTACTTTTGAGTATGAAATAGTCCACATGGCTTCTAGTCTAAAACTGGAATTTTTGCTGTCTCTCTTGGGCTAAAACACCTCCAGATATTTCTGTAAATGTATCTTAAGAGGTTGAATCTCCAGCTTTTGGTACATACAACCTTAAACATACAAAAAGCATTGATTTTGATTGCAGGCAGCTAAATATTTAAGGATATATGTAGCGTACTGTAACATTTCAAGAGTTCTTGAAACTCACTTTTTACTAGTATTTTTCTAAAGTTTGCAAAATTCTCTTTTCATTGAGTAATGGTTTCTTCTCCCTTTCTTTACCTTGTGGACTTCAAGTGGATTTAAAATGAACATGGTTCTGTTCAATGTGTACGTACCTATGACTATATAAGTGTCATGCTGGGAATGGTATTTAGGTAGCTAGCTAGCTGTTGGTGCAAAATCAGCAGGAAAAACTCAAAACATCTTTCATACTGTTTTGCCTTTCATTAGGGTTTGAAAGTAGCAGTGGAAGTAATAAAGATTTTTAAAACAGCTTGAAATCCCAAATGTATTTATCACCAGAGGAGGCAATCCATTCACAAAGTTTTGATTCTTCAACATGTTTCTGTGAGCTTTCTTTCATTGGAGAATGTTAATTTTTAATTTACAGTCAAACAATTGGGGCAAACTAGACACCAAAGCTGTCCGGTGGCAGAAGATTTTCTACTCTTTCATCATATTTTTTTTAGGTTTTAGAAGGCCAAGTTTAGACATCCAGTCCCCTCCCAATATTGGTCTGCGTCGCAGTGGGCAAGTGGAAGGTGTACGTCAAATGCATCAGAATGCTCCACGAAGTCAAATTGCCACAGAGCGAGACCTTCAAGCTTGGAAACGAAGAGTAGTTGTACCAGAAATACCACTGCATTTATTCAGGTGTGTGAAAATCTAGCTGGCTCATATGAAGGACATCTCTTTTTTAAAAAATGAGATTGCTATCAGTATTACTCCACACGTTTAATACCTTAATGTTCTCCTTTATTCAGTGCTATTAGGCCTACACTAAAAAAATACTCTAGTGCAAATTGAAATTACTAAATGTTAATTTCAGTTGCATTCAAAACTAAGTTGGAAAATGTATGTGACATAAGGGTGAAGGGAGAACTAACTAGTTAGAAAATAACTTGAGCATGTAAGAGGGTTTACTGCAAACAATGAAGTATATGCCAAAAGAATTGAAAGGGTAGTTAGGTTCACTGAATGCTCCTCATTTTCCAGAAAAGTGAGGGTTATAGGGCTACATTCACTAACTTGGAAAGATTCAAAAAAATCTTTTGGAGGCTCCTGAGCGACTCCTCTCCTGGTACGAGTTGCTATCCATCAGCAACACAAGAGGAGCACTGCCTGAACAGGAGGCAGCAGAAGGTTCTTGAAGACAGCTGGCTGCTGTTTTCATACAGGAGCATTAAATGCCTAGGAGGAAGAGAAGTTGCATTTGTTGCTGAGGATAAGAAACAGCAGCACTTGTAGCCAAGGGGGCTGTTAAAAGCTTTTTCCTTCATCCCAGCCTCAGAGCCAGGTGTCTGAAAAAGGGAAAGAGGAGGAAATCCTGTTGTCGTCATCACCTGCTTGCAAAGCCTGGTGATTGGAGGGAGGAAGAGAAGCAAACCCTCTAGTGTTAAATGGTATCAGCTAAGATTGGTTGAATCTACTTTACTTGGCCAGCATGTTTAAAAGAAAAATCTAGAAACCTGTTCCTTTGCAAACAGTAAATATGTTCTTGATGCCTATCCCTGTACATGGTGCCTGTTAGCATGATTCAAGTAGTGTAGATGGGACCAAAAAGATGTGTAATGGAGGTGATCTATCCATATATTTGGACCTACTTCTGATGGGACCATAGATTGAAAATGAGGGGGGGGCGGTTATTTCATCCTACAAGGGATAGTGGTGAATTTGGGAGAAAAATCCTCTTGTAAATCCTTCTTATCAACCATGTCTGCCAATGTGTCAGGAGAGTTTTTTCTTTATGAATTGATAGCTATATAAAATCCCTAAATATTTAGAAACTATAGAATTTCTCCATCATGTTATAACCATTCCAAGAGAGGATAAAATTTGGACATTTAAACTGTCAATTTTGTTAGGTCCAGTGTCAGAATATAAAGTATTTTAAAGAAGACAAACCTGTAACTACTCAATTTACTTTCAGAATTGTGATTTTACTTTTATTTTGACAAGTTTCAAAACTCTCTTGTAGAAAACAGGAGGAGTACCGGATTGCAAAAGGAGAGGAAGAGAGAGAGCTCTATGCAACAGAGAGGAAAAGGAAGACATTTCAGTTCTCAGAAAAGGTATGAAACAGATATAGTGAATGATGAGCTCCTAACTTCTGCATGAGAGAGCCGTGAGTTGAAAAAGTACCTACACATGTCTCTAAAGGTACCATCTTACAGGATTCTCCCAGACCCCAGTGCCCTATTTTTCTGGTAAATTTTTTATTTTATGGTGACTCCCTTGAATTGGAGTTTTTTTTCTGGGAGCTTCACCTTCCTCCATCCACGGAACTGACTGGAACTCGATTGGCAGCTTGTCTGACAGTCAAGAGCGGGCCTGGATTGGACTTCATGCTGCTGCTATTGTATTTAAAGGATTCAAGATTGTATAGATAGGGCAGTTTTCCCAGTCACATACAGTACTAATGAGTGTAAAAATAGTGAGAATCCTCCAAGATATCTTCAGAGTTTATAGAAATTAATTCAGAATAATAGGCTAGTATCACTTTTGTCTTTTGCAGCTTACTTTGTGGATTTGACAGCATTTTGTGTGCAATCAGTTTCAGGGTTGTTCCTATATAGTCAGTTTTTCCTTTTCTGTTGTTCGTTGGAAAGGCCCAAACAAGACAGAACGGTTTAAATAGGAAAACGTGATTGTAAAACTGTAAGCCAAAATTGGCAGGGCGATTTGGTGACAGGTAAAATATCTAGTTACTCTTAACTTTTTTTTTTAATTGAGTAGATTTCAAATTGGTGTGCTACTAATGGTAAATTAAATGGTGGACTCGCAACAAGTTCTGTTAAGTTGTAAAATAACCACTGTTAATTTATAACTGCTTCTTAAAATATTGAACCTTGAAAGTGGTCGGCCTTTCTCACAAATTCAGAAGAACTATATTTCTTGTTTTGATCTATGTTGTCAAAATAACAGCTTATTTTTATATTTAAAACAACTCTTGGTTTTGGCTTACAATCAGTGCAACTATAAAGAAAGGTATCTTCTCATATGACATAATTTTTCCTTTAATTTCATAAACTGGTCCTCAATTCCACAGCAGATAATAGAACTACAGAATAAACTAGGAGTCCTGTTTATGTAAATAAACAGTTTCACTACACAACTATAATTACTGTTTAAATCTTTTTTTAAAACTTATGGCATTAGGAGTTACGATTTTGACACTACTGTAAGGTGTACCACATTTAAGCAAAAAGTGGGAACTCTGAATAGCTTGTTAGACCTCAGCTCTTCAAGAATAGATACTCTTTGCATTCTTGTATGTTCACAATATTTGTTACAAGTCTATAAAATTAAGTTTACTTTCATATTGTAAAGCTATATTTCTTATCTATTTATGCAAAAATTGGATTGCATTAATTCAACATTGTATCTTTATCTGTAACGCCTATTAGAGTGACTCTGAAGCTTCACTGATACAATCCAAGCGTAGACTACATAGGCGTAAATATCCAAGTTATCGAACACGGAATAACACAGAACAACTAGATTCATCTGATGAGCAAAGGGATGACTGTTTTGGCTTTATAAACCAGGTGAGTGCTTTTCCAAATTCTTTAATTCACTAACTGGAGTTAGTGGAAAGTATCCTGAAAGTTTCATAAAATGTCAGATTTCTGTTGCAGAAAATGCATGCATCCCTGTTTTTACAAGAACAAATATTTCTATAATATGTTAACTGTCAGCAGATATTACCAGTGCTCTAGATTGCTCAACACTTCCGTTATAAAACCTTGCTTTCAGTTGTTTATAAATACTGTGCCAAACTCTGTTTGGGCTATTATTTTCCATGCCAGTCATCTACCTCAGGTTGAACACTTCTGAAAGTTTCCGCAAAAATAGCTTACCCATTTCCAAGAACGAGATTTGCAAAACAACATATTTTTTCCTATTGTTAAAAAACAAAACAAAAAACCCTTACAATTGTTTCATTGAGAAGCTTTAGTGCCTTTATGCTTTGTAGTAGGGATTTGAAATTTGGCATTGGCTACCCCCTGGTTTCAGATGTCTTTTGTTGTTCTGTGGAAAAACTGCCCAAATTTATCCAAGTTTATAATACTTTGAAAAAAAGTATGTTCGCATATGCTCAGTAGTGACTTGGAGTTTGGCAGCTAAATTCTCCAAAGATTCTGTCTATGTTGGGCAAGGGTTGAGCAGGAGTTTCCCTATAAGTGCTGCTCCTGACTGCGGTGGTGGGCGGCACAAGAACAGAAAGTGAGACTCTCTTATGCCTCTCCGTTTTGCCCCTCAAATGCAGAGGGAACAAGAGCCAGACTTGGGGATTGAAGAACTGGGGCTGGGAAATATGGTAGTTGAAGCCAGGGGGAGAGACTGGTAGCTATGCTATGGGGTTGAATCAGGGTCGTGTATGAAGAGACTGTTGTCTGTAGGAACCCTGCTTCATCTGTTGCAAGTTGAAAAATGTATAGTGAATGAGGCAGGGGGTTGCAGGAGTAGAGGACAGTATCATGGTTAAGGCAGTTGAATGCACAGGCAACCTTAATTCCGTCATTTCTTAACCTTGAGTACTTGACTCTGCAACTTTAACAATTTTCTTTTAACATATGTTTTGTGTAGTATGCTGTAGGATACAACCTGAGTCATGACCAGCTCTGATAGCCCTCATGCTGATACCCAGTTACGAGGTCTATTTAAAAAAAGCAGTCCTTAAATTCACAATGAGCTATTGTTCCTAGGAATCTGACATTCACACGGGCAAAAATTGCAGGAAATGTTAAAACTTCTGCAGTATATCAGGGGATATTTCACATACCATGTAATCCATTTTGTATTTAAATATACACTGTTTTACTTTAAAAAAATATTGAATACAAGGCCAATCAATATGCTGAAAATCTACAAAATCACCATGCCCATCTTGTATGAAATATTTAAGGAAAACAAATTTACAGAAGTTAGAACTCTACTGTTTTTATGGGGAGGAGGGGCATGGTATTTTTTCATTTGTGGATCCCCTTCCTCTACCACTTTAAATCCTCCTTTTGCATGCTGAGTGAACCAGGTTCTGTCATACATTGACTTCATGAGGACATCAAGAGTCTAAGATATTTTAATACTCATTTTGATATATAATTTGCAATCTTGCAAAGTGTGTGCAATCAAAGAATGCTAAGGTATTCATAGGCAAAACAGTGAGGCTACCACTGGGGGGTGGGGCTGTTGTAGCCTTGGAAACAGCTGTAACAGATCTTATGGCCCTGTGTTTCTGTACAGTCTACTCATGTTGAATAATTTAATGTGCAGTGCTAGTTTGTGTTTGTATTGAGGAAGTCAGCTC